AAAACCCAACAACTGCAAAACATCATTTTATAATTGATATTCATTGAGTTGAAATTCGACTTTATGATTACGATTTATTTTTCATAACATTGGAGGCAGAGAGGATATGAAGTCTTTCATTAAGCGAACACTCGGCTAATTGCTTACACGAGTTTTCCTACGCAATGGATCAGCGACAAGATGTCTGGATAGAATAGTCTCCTATACATATATTCTTCATATACATATAGTCCTTCTATACATATAGTCTCCTATACACATAGTCTCCTCTGGATGATGCGATGTCTCTGATACTATGCGGATGTCGACGGTCGCCTAAATCTGGTGTATGAGTGGTTTTCTACATAAGATTTATAAATGGTTCTACTATATCAGATGTATGCTGATCTTCTGTAAGAAAGGCTAGGTCACTTATGATTTTTGCGACAGTTTCTTATAACGTACAGATAGATTGTCCCTTTATAGAATGCGATGGTATGGTCTGTAGAAGATGTGTGGATTCGTCTCCAAAACAATATGTATTGCCTGTATACGATGCATGGACGCGATTTCCTTATAGTGGAATTCGAGCATGTGTTTTGCACCTCACCTCGGCTCCACAATTCATGCATACCTTCTTAACCACAATCATTACGATTTACTCTTAACTGCAGGCCAAAACGTACTAATTATTTCCACTCCCTGAATAGAATGCCAGATTTATTTACATTTTTAATAGCAAACGCAGACCTTCCTTGTCAGATGCTGGACAAATGTAATGCACGAACTAGCTGCGTGGGGCAACTATGCTAGTTATACCACGGCGCTTGTTTTGCGTTGACGCCAAGTTTGGAAGAATGGCCAGATTTATACATTTTTAATAGCACACCGCAGACCTTCCTTGTCAGATGCTGGGAAATGTATGCACGAACTAGCTGACGTGGGGAGCAACTATGCTAGTTATAACCACGGCTTGTTTTGCGTTGACGCCAAGTTTGGAGGGATTAATGCATTATAATTAATGTTGATTTAGGGTCATGTCTGCCTTTGAGTAGGAATAGTAAAATTATTATTGAAAGAGAACGTGAAATTTGGATGACGTCAAGCTATTTCAAAGTTCGTATCCATTTACAATCTCTGCCGGCGTCTCTTGTCTTAGCGTAAACGTAGCGGAAAATGACACGGCAATTTATTATATAGCAAATACATCTAAGCCCTATGTATATAATACAATTATATTGCCATAAATATAAACAACATAATGATAAAAGACACGAAGTATTGACATTTTACAATGGTATGCTAATATTATCCCAAATATTATACAAAACTTTGCTGGTGCATCTAAACAGCTCTCGTGATGTTCACGCTGAAGGCCGGCAAAGGCAGACGGACAGACAGATACGTGTGCAGACAGCTAGAGACAATCGTGGCAGTAACATGTAGGCAATATATATATATATATATATATATATATATATTGATTCAGTAGATATCGATGAGATACCTGATTTCACCAGAGTGACAAGTTGATTCGTGTGCACTCGTGACATGTCCTGTGGCGCCTTTAACGGCGGAGATGGCAGAAGCCCGCAGTGACGGAGTTCCGGAACCAGAGGTTGTTCCTCCTTCCTGATAGGATCGTAGACGGTCGGCATGTCGACCGGCTGCGGAGGAGCAGCGATCGTGCTGCCCCACGCGGCACAGGACGGCATCTGTGTCACCGCCGGGTGGCACTGGCCAGGAGTGCAGCAGTACAGACATGGCGGATGTTGTAACGGGGCGGCACCTATAGCTCGAAAACGAAACGATTCACGTTAGATAAACAGCGCTGCCCGCGACAGCGACGTCAGGAATCTATCTACGGCGATATCATCATGACATTAACGCGGGATCATTAATACCTAATATTATTATAAAACATGACCAAGGAATATTTTACTTATTTTATCGAAAAAATCTATTAAAAACTCACTGGACCACTGAGGGGCTTTACCTGGCGTGTTGTCGGCACGTGGAGTGATAGCGTCGAGCGACGTGTACGTCTTCACCTGTGACGGCGCGATATCCGCTGATGACGATACGTCACGAATCACGTGAGAATGCGGGAATGTGTCGCCACCTAGCGACGCGAAATATCGGCTGGCCGTTCCTTGCCAGACTGATGTCATGTCTATAAGAAATAAAAGTTGCGTATTTCTTTTGCGAATGAATCTAATAACGAAGCAGTGATGAAGAGCAAGTTGGAATAAAGTTTCATCACTGTTCTGGCGCGCGTTCGCGCGTGTGCGTGTGTATACGTGCGTGCGTGCGCGTGTGGAGCTAGCCTATATATGCGTACAGAGAATATAGCTAGCCATTTCAAAGAGAGAGCGAGAAGAATGAGTGCGAGAGATATGTGAAAGAGACAGCAGAGATAGAGATGTATACAGAGAAAGCGCGCGGGAGGGGAGTGGAAAGCGAGCAAGAGATTGAGAGAAAAGCAAAGGTGGGAAGGGTGGGTGTGATATGGTGAATGGATTGCAATAAAGCAAAAAGACCGGAGCATCTCACGGGGGAGGGAATCACACATGGCTTATACAGCCGTACATTATATCAAGAGCTGATAATACCTAATAATAGTTATTATTAGCTCTCGTTTATATGTTAATCGAGAACAGGTAACGATGGACGCAAACGCGCTGTAATAACACCATAAACACCACCACTGGGTCATTAATAAGTATCAAATTTATTTTAAAATCGACAGACACGTACTTATAAAATACAAACACACGGACACACGCTCACACACACGCAAAGGAACGAACTTGCGCACGCACACACACGCACACACACACATACACACGCACGTACGAACGAACTTGCGCACGAACGAATTTGCGCACGCACGCACGCTCATACAAGAACTTAGTGCGTGGGTAACTAATGGTATGTTAGCCGACGTCAGTACACTGACGGACGAATGCAGTACGGAGGACGCATGGATGATGTCAGGATGATGTCATACTAATGACAAGCGTCGGGCCTCACTCTTCGTCTGCTGGCTTACAATGACATCACTATGTCTGTAAACCAGCGTAATTAAGCTGACGTCACTATGTCAGTACACCAGCCTAAACTGACATCACTTTGTCAGTATACCGGCCTTTCATGACGTCACTATATCTGCCTGCCGGCATTATGTCAACCTATTGATATGCGATAGCGTTATACGTCACTCTGGAGACCTTCCAAAACGGCACCATATCACTAGGATAAAGTGCGATGACGTCACCAGATCACCCTGATGATATGCGATGACGTCA